GCTCTGGTAGTAGACTCTTGCAAATTAACACTACATAACTGAATTAAGTACCCTTCTCCCTGTTCTCTGAAAGTTTTATCAATGTTCTTTTCACTGACCATTTGTAACTCCTCTGGAATTATTCCCTGTAGGGTTCTTTTCACACCTTCAGTTATGAAAGATACCTGCAATTTCTTGAAATTTAAAGTAATATCCTCTAAGGTCTTCATCCAATCTGCCCCCAAAACAATTTGACTTCCTCCCATGGGCATAATCAGCAGGTTAACCTGGATTTTCACCCCTTGACAGTCCAGCAATACTTCTTTGCACACCCCAGCTCCTTTGATTAGTTCCCCACTAGCAACTAATACATTGAAATTGTTAGATTCAGTCACTGTTAACCCCAATTTTTTTACAAGCTTAGTATTGATAAAATTGTGAGTTGACCCTGAATCTATCAAAATGCTGACTGCTTGGTTCTTGTAATAGCCCACAACTCTGATAGTGTGAGAGGCATTAATTCCACTTAAAGCTTGCACAGAAATAGAAGGAGCTCCTTTAACTAAACTCTCAGCTAACTCCATTGTTAAAGAGTCCTCTTCATCTTGATTATCACCCTCTTCAGTTTCATTCATGCCTCCTTCCAGAATTCCCTCAAGAATGAACAAATGTTTTTCTTTACACTGGTGACCTCTATGCCACCTTTCATCACAAGTAAAACACAAATTCTGACTCCTTCTTCTCTGTATTTCCTCAGGAGTCATTTTCTTAATTTGAGGAGATGGTCTGGGGTTATCTTTAGTAGGAGGATTAAAAGATGGATTAACTGAAGAACTCCCTGGGCTGTAAGTATTCCAATTTCCTCTTGGTTTTCTTTCATTTTTTTGTTTATCCTCAAACAATTTAGCTAAGGATACTGCCTCCCTTAGAGAAATAGGCCTAGCAGCTGCCACTTCATACCTCAGTTCATCTTTAAGACCTCCTATAAATTTTTCAAGAATATGCCTCTTGGAGGGTTGTTCATCCAACATACCCAATGTTTGCTCAAATTTCCCCAAATACTCTCTGATGGTAGAAGTTTGCTTCATAGTAGAAAAAGTGTCATAGGGTCTTGAGAGTTCACTAGGACCAAATCTAGTAATTAACTCTTCTTTAAAAATTTCCCAATGATTATAATCCTCAATGTTCCTGGTTAACCATCTATACCATTGCAAAGCTTCATCCCTCAAATAGAATGAGCAAACCTTGACCCATTCATAACTATTGATATCATAATAATCAAAAATCTGTTCAATTTGCTCCAGCCACCCTATCACGTTTTCATTTCCAGAAAAAGAAGGAAAATCCAAACGCAAAGATTTGGGTTGAAAAAGTTTTTGATTACTGAAGAAAGAGTTTTTCTGGTTTGAGGAATTACCAAAACTGTAACTTGGTCTGAATCCCTCAGTGAATTCATCCACTCCTTGGTTTTGAGAGATATGGGTGTGCTCCTGATCCCTCCTGTTTGGATTCCTGACCCCTGATCTTGACACATCTCTATTCTCTCTTGATCCTAAGCCTAAGCTCTGCTGCTCATTTCTTGCCTCTATCCCCATTACACCCTGATTAGGGTTCTTGGAGTTTTTGGCTTCTTGAACCAAGAACTGTAATTGAGAAAAAATTTCTTCAAACTTTGATGTAACCTGTTGATTGAATGATTTCTGTTGAAGGAGAGCATCCTCCACACGAACCATTCTTTCTTCTTGAGTCATTTCTCCAACAGAACCCTCTTCTTGATTACCCAGGAAATCTTCAGCTCTGGCTTCAGCTTCGATCTGCTCTGATACCAATTGTGAGGATCCAAGCAACTTGGGGAACCCACCCTTAAAAGCTAGCTGTTAAGGGGGAAGAACCAAGTCACTTAAATACCCCATCAAGCAGCCCATACTACCCGATGTGGGACTTTAGTCCCTAACATAGCACCGCCCCTGAGAGCCGACGTCCCGGCGGCTGCACTCTATGATGCTTCACTCGGCGGTGCTTTACTCGGACTTTTCCGGTCAGCCCCTCCGCCGGTCAGCCCCTTCACAGGTAGCCCTTTTCGTGACGCCGACAACCAGCTCTGATACCAATTGAGAGGACCGAGTTCCTCTGTTGAACCTGGTATTACTGTTTCTGGCCATGGCTAGCTCAGAACAGTTCTAATGGAGAAGAATGAATGAGAGAGACAGAAGAATTGGAACAAAAGAACAAAATAAAATTGAGAGAGAGAACAGAATTCACTTCATTTCATTTCATAATCTCTTTGTTATTACATCCTCTCCCTTTTATACTAATCGGATCCCTCAACTGTTAGTTTTGTGCCGTGCACGTGCACAAACAGAAATAACAGAGAAAGAACAGAAATAACTGTCTAACTGAACTACCACATTTATTACAAGATGCCACAATAAAGTCTTTGCAAATTAGTCCTTCTCTCTGGCATTTCTTTTGTGTATCAGTCCCTCCTTTACGTATCAGTCCTTACTCCCCTTCCAGTTCCCTTCCAGTTTCAGCAGCTTCAACCACTCTAGTCTTCACCTCAATCTCCAGCTCATGATCTTCAGTTCCAGTAATTCCAGTCCCTGACATCTAACCTTTTCTTCAACTCGATCCCAAGCATTTGAATTGTTCAACTTTTTTTTTTCTTTCATTACCTTTAAACTTAGAAACCCTAATGACTACAAAAACGCAAACTGTAATTCATGACGATTAATGTTGTCGCTGGCTTGAGAACCTTTAGTATATTTTATATACATGTTGCATGTATGATTAGTGTATTAGGTGAATGAACAAGCTTTAAATATTGGTCTTCTGACTGTTTCATAATTGGTTTGTCATTTACGACCAGGGACACTGAAAACAATATAAGTGGATTTTGACGTGTTCAATTAGATGCTTCTCATTGGGATCTAGTAGTTGTCTCTGCTCTTCCCCAAGTGAATATTTACTGCCGGGTGGAAACATCTATATTGATTAGATAGTCTCCAGATTGTTTAAATTTTCAATTCTAAGCAAAACTGGTAGGGCTAGCTTGTACCGCTCTGGTAAGTATCAACTAATACTCTGATCCAGACAGTTGGAAGGTTTCAATAGGGCTCCTATGATTTCGAGTTCAACTGCAGGTTGGATAATTTAAAAAGGAAAAGGAAAAAGAAAAAAAAACTCATCTTACTAGAATCAAACTTAACAGCTTCAAGCATCTTTCCGCAATCTATGCATCTGAGAAATTAAGTTTGTCTTTTTTTTCTTAAGACTTCTCTAGATTTATTACCCATTCTGTAGGTCTCGCATTTTGTTTGTGCTCCTGTGATTTCCTGTTATATTCTTTAACGATTCATAACTCTGCGAGCATGTGTGAGCTGTTTGGTATAATTGTTATTCTGCAAAGCCACCGTCTCTGAACTGGATTAATATAATGTAGGCCCATTGTATCCAACTGTAGGAGCTTCATTTTGAATCATTCAACTAAATCATGCTACATGCTAATTGTGATGATTCTATAAACGTTGTGCCCATAGGAAACCCTACCTTTTTATTAATATTATAGATTGCTACCCAGTGGAAATTTTGGCTCACAGGATAGCGATGGACGAAGCGGAGAACTACACAGACAAACTTAGTTTTCAACAAGCAGGAGAATTTAACAAAATCCCTGAAACACACACTTCTAGCTCGAGGGAATTCTTATCATGCTGAAGTTTCAATAGTTGAATTACACAAAACAACCTCTTGACCCTGAAAACTGAGTTGACTAGCAATACTACAAATGTGTCGTGAATGTATTTGGAATTGAAAGGATATCCTTTTCCCCTAATATTCATAGACATTATGTGCATATGCTTTTGGGAAAATTTGCAAAATAGACCGTTTTTATAAAGTAATTAGCGAAATAGACCACTTTTAAAAGTAATTAGCAAAATAGACCTCTTTTTGGCCAATAGACCAAACAGAGGTCGATTTTGAAAAAATGGCTTCAGAAAACATACGGGACTACTAGTCCCGTATGTTTAAAGTTAACTAATCTAATGATTAGTGCACTAATCATTAGATTAGTTAGCTTTAAACATACGGGACTAGTAGTCCCGTATGTTTTCTGAAGTCATTTTTTTCAAAATCGACCTCTTTTGTCAAAAAGAGGTCTATTTTGCTAATTACTCTCAAAAGTGGTCTATTTCGCTAATTACTTTATAAAAACGGTCTATTTTGCAAATTTTGCCTATGATTTTACCCCATTATGTATAGAAAGTTATGTTTGAAAGAAAAATGAAATCTGAAAGAAGTCCTTCCTCCTTTTTTCGTTCTTGTTCTCTCCTGTCTATTTCCTGTTTGTGTCATGGAAAAGTACAATTGCTACTGCACTTGCCATTTGCAACAGCTGACAAGGCGATTACAATTGTACTTATGGATGTTTATTTTGTTACAATTAATGTATACGTTGAGACCGCGGTTACAGAAGAGTTGCACCTGCAGTGAAACTAAGAGCTACAACTGTAAATGTAGTTTACAAATTACAACAGGAACAACGATTGTAATTTTCATCAGAAACATAAGATGTGTGTGCCAGACGCAAAAAGTTTCATAACCTCGTGCTTCAGGTTATGATATTAGCTTAGGATCTGTTTGTTTGCACGGAAATAGTAAAGAAGTAACTAAAGTAGATGAAGTTTCTTCTACTTCAAACAAAAAATTATGTTTGTTTATCCGAAAATACTACTTCAGCTACTTCCATAAATGTAGATGTGACGTCTAGGTGGCACTCCTACTTTCTAGATTTTTTTTTCCGCCATTGAAAGCTCAGAAGTAGAGGGGAAGTGAATAAAAAGTGGGGTCCACTTAAATTGAAACAAAGAAAATACTATTTCCACTACTTCTAAAATATATGAAACAAACAAAATAAGTACTACTTCCGCTACTTTCTACTTCATATAATTGAGGAAGTTACATCTTTAATTTACTTCTTACTTGTAATACTTACGTCCATCCAAACAAGCCCTTAGGGCTAACTGCCGACAAACCTATTGTAGTATCGTTAATTTGTTTGGACTCTCTAGTTTTACTTTGGGACTGATCACAAACAAAACCGTCCTCCTAGGTCAAAATCGTTCTCATAGACAATAAAACCATCCTCCTATGTCAAACTCGAAACCATCCCCCTTGGTGTGTAAGCGTCACGGTAGCTTAAAAATAAAACCGTTCCCATAGACAGTAAAACTATTCTCCTAGGTCAAACTCGAAACCGTCTCACGGTAGCTTAAAAATATAACCGTTCCCATTCCCAAATAACCGTTAGCATCTGCAAAAAATATGAACCGTCCCCAAATGTTATAAACGGGAACAATTCAAGAACCGCGCTACTTGGATCATGAACTGTCGCGTTAGACCAAAGACTACAGCAGCAAATGTATCAGATGAGTAACTATTCTCGTAAGCCTATGAAGATGGTTTTATTGTCTACCGGGACGGTTATAAACCTTCCCCATAGACCCATTATTTGGTAGCGCGTCTTAATCATTCATTGCGACCCAAACCTAAAGATGGCAGAAGATTCATCAGTCCCATTGAGCGTTTTAATTAGCTCATTGTCCCTGTTTCTTTTGCACCTTAAGGGGGTGTTTGTTTGCATGCAAGTGAAAGATGAAAGTGAGAAAGTTACTTTCATTTAACAATTAAGGTGTTTGTTTTCATGTAAGTGGTTATGAAAGTGAGATGCAAGAAAGTTGCCACATATGATTTAATGCAATTTTGACTTTCCCTAAAAAAGTGGTGAAGTCACATGAAAGTGACCAAAATGTAACTAATTTAATTAAATAATTTTAATTATACTCTCTAATTAATCTTATTTTGCCACGTCATCTTCACATTGCACTTTCGATAATAATTTAATTTTTCAAACAAACACTGTATTTCACTTACGTGCTGACATGGATGTAAAAGTCATTTGCAAAAAAAAGTAACTTACATATTTTAAATTCACTTTCAGATTGCCAAACACCCCTTAATGCAATTTTGATTTCCCCTAAAAAAATGGTGAAGTCACATGAAAGTGACAAAAATGTAACTAATTTAATTAAATGATTTTAATTATATTTTCTAATTAATCTTATTTTGCCACGTCATCTTCACATTGCACTTTCGATAATAATTTAATTTTTCAAACAAACACTGTATTTCACTTACGTGCTGACATGAATGTAAAAGTCATTTGCAAAAAAAAGTAACTTACATATTTTAAATTCACTTTCAGATTGACAAACACCCCCTAAATGCACGTAGCTAATTTCAAAATTAGTAGGCTGGGTTCCAGAAAATTATGAAAAGAAAAAGGACATGAAGCTCGTGCTTGATAAATGATCAGAGCTTTGAATATCTTTGGCCTAGTAAAAGCAAGACATGAAGCTCATGCATGATATAAACCAAGATTTTCATGCTCAAATAGAAGCGGGCACCATCGTATTAGTGTATATTGCAATTTAATGAAATGATTTAATTAAGTGAGGTCGGCACTGCCATTTAATGCTTAGTTATAAATTCCAAGTGTGGGTACAAGTCAAAACAAATTTGGCTCTTCCCCTTGCAAACCGGTCACGTCACGTGGGGTAATTAATTTTTCATCTATTAATGTTTTTTTTTCTAGCCATTATTAATGATCCCAGCGTTTTGAAGATGGCATGTGCGGGATTATACATAAAGGAAGGTTCAGTTATTATACTATATATTTTATCGATTTTTCTATAGTGTCCATGGGTACTCTATAAGAGAGAAGAGAGATAGAGAAAAATGAATGAAGAGAGGGTCTCCTGATTTGCATTGGGATCATCTTCTCATTCATTTCTCTCTATCTCTCTCCTCTCTTATAGAGTGCCCATGAGCACTCTATAAGAGAGGAGAGAGAGAGAGAGAGAGAGAGAAATGAATGAGGAGTATTTGAACACAGAAGAAGAAAAACAGATTTTGAGGGGGGTTCCGCTAATGGGTAAGGGTTTTTCACTTTCCTTTTGTTGTAATTTCTCAAGGAGATTTCTCCTCAATTTATAGGGGCTGAACCCACTAACTCCACCCCCCAGATCCGCCCCAATGAGAGATTTTCTCTCAATAACCCTTCCACGTTTTCACGTTCCACAATTCTCTCTACTGAGAATTGTTGATTTGGTCATCTTAGACCAGGTCAACCTAACATCTTCCACTTGACCAAATCAACCAAGTGATATGCCTCCCACTATCCGTGAGATCAGATGTTTCTGCTTACCATTACTCTCACTATCCGTAGAGAGTAACTCTTATTTCATTATTCATGAAATTTTACTTGGACTTATTTATTCCTAAGTCCCATCAAACTTACATGTTTGATAAAAGATTATGCTGGTATTCCTTTTGTCAAAGGATCAGCAATCATATCTGTAGTAGGGATATAAGTCACTTTGACTTCTCCCTAGCAACACACCCTTGTTTCTTGCTACTCCAAGAAACAGCTCCTCCTCCAAAGATAAATAAGTGTCCCGAAGTGGACTTTCCATCATCTTTATCACCTCCGAAATCAGCATCGGAATAACCGAGGAGTTCAAGCGAATCAGCTTGATAAACTAATCTATGAGTCAATGTACCTCTGATATACTTCATAATCCTTTTAACAGCTTCCCAATGTGCTGGTCCTGGATTACTTTGATATCTACTGACTAGACTCACAGCATAAGCTATATCAGGTCTGGTGCACAACATTGCATACATCAAGCTTCCAATTGCTTGAGCATAAGGAACATCTAATGGCTTCTGCTCCTATCCAGGGCTTTGCTCTTTACATAATCTCTTTCCCATAACCAACGGAGTTGGTGCCGGATTGGAATTCTCCATTCCAAACCTTTTAAGAACTGATCTTAAATATTTTTCTTGGTTTAAACTTAGCATTCTAGACTTTCTATCTCGAATTATTTGAATTCCAAGAATATATGATGCATCTCCCATGTCTTTCATCTCAAACTTTTCGCTGAGATCTGCCTTGGTTTTATTCAACATTTCTATGTCATTTCCAGCGAGCAATATATCATCCACATATAAGGATAATATAGTAAACTTGCTCCCACTTTTCAAGACATATACACAATTATCTAATTTATTTTGAATAAAACCAAGTTTAGTAACTGCATCATGAAATTTGAGATACCATTGTCTAGAAGACTGTTTTAAACCATATAGAGATTTCATTAATTTGTAAACTTTATGTTCCTGTTCTTTCACCTGAAAACCTTCAGGTTGTTGCATATATATTGCTTCCTTCAACTCTCCGTTAAGGAATGCAGTTTTAACATCCATTTGGAATAACTCCAAATCAAGATATGCAACAATAGCCAAAATAATTCTAATGGATGCAAATTTAGCTACAGGAGAATACGTCTCCTGAAAATCTATTCCTGCTTTCTGGTTATAACCTTTGGCAACTAACCGTGCTTTGAATTTATCAATAGATCCATCAACACGATATTTCTTTTTGAGCACCCATTTGCATCCTATGGCTTTCCTATTTTCTGGTAGATCACATAACTCACATACCTTATTCTTTTCTATAGAATCAAGTTATTCTCTCATAGATTCTAGCCATGAAGCTGATTCATGCGATTTCATCGCATCAGAAAAAGTTAAGGGATCTTGTTCTTCTATATTTGTATCTACCGAAAAACAGGACGACTCACATGAATACAAATAGTAATCATCCATCCATGAATGTTGTGTTCTTGGCCTTTTGTTACCTACAACTGGTTGATTAGGTACATTATTTTCCATAGGTATTTCATCATTTTCAAGGTTAGGTTCATTCATAATATCAGAGTCATTAGTGGGAACAACACTGTAATAATCATCATCTATTACAGTTAGAGGTTCTATTTCCTCTTGAACTTGTTCCTCTTCCTCTAGATTCTCTAGAAATGTAGCATCTCTGCTTTCAATGACTCCTTTTTCTTTATTGTAGAACTTATAACCTTTTGATTTTTCTGAATACCCTATGAATCTACACTTTATTGTTTTAAAATCCAACTTATCTCTAAGTTGACATGGAATGAGAACATGGGCTATAGATCTCCACTTCCTGAGATGACTCAAATTAGGTTTCCTCCCATTCCATAATTCATACGGTGTAGATATAGCTGATTTGGTAGGAATTCTATTTAAAATGTAGTTTGCAGTTAACAATGCTTCTCCCCAAAAGTTTTTAGAGAGACCAGAATGAGACAACATGCATCTAACTACATTTAATAATGTTCTGTTCTTTCTTTCAGCAACACCATTCTGTTGTGGCGTATACGGCATTGTTGTATGCCTTTTAATTCCATGCTGAATACAATAACTTTCAAATTCTTTAGAATTATATTCTCCACCTCTATCAGTTCTCAGAATTTTGATTTTCAATCCAAGTTGGTTTTCAACTTCTGTCTTATATCTCTTAAAGCAGTCAAAAGCTTCTAATTTTCTGGATATAAGATAGACGTGTGCAAACTTGGAATAATCATCTATAAAAGTAATAAAATATTCTTTATTACTATGAGTTTTGACACTTAGGGGACCACAAATATCCGAGTGTATCAACCCTAAAAGTTCATTGGCTCTATGTCAGCCAACAAAAGGTTTTCTAGTCATTTTACCAGTTAAACAATGTTCACATGGTGACAATTGAACATTAGATAGTGCAGGAAGCAAGTTCATTCTGATAATTTCTTTCATTTTTGAAATACTAGCATGTCCTAGTCTAGAATGCCACAATTCAGATTCAGAAATATAACAAGACAAGTAGTTCAAATTCGAAATTTTATTATCAGAATTATTACAAACTACTGGAAGAATGCATAATTCATGCTCGGGCACATATTTTCCCATAGCATACACTTTATTATTCTTGCCTATAGAAACCCTATTATTATAGAACCTAACTTCCAGTCCTTTCTTCATCAAGCTGGGAACAGAGATCAGATTGCGTCGAATTCCTGGCGCATAGAACACATCTTTGAGGACAAGAATGCTGTCCCCAAGATCCAATCTATACGAACCAATACCTTCTACATCGAGATAGGTATTATTTCCCATATAGATTCTCTGTTCTCCTTTCTTCAGCTCGGTGAATTCTACGACTCCATTCTTGTCCTTTGCGATATGCCTAGTCGCACCGGAGTCGATCCACCAACCACTGATATCCGTCATCACAGCATTACATTCCGTCACACCGACGAATTCTCTTTTGCTAGTACCCCCTTGTTCTGGATGCTTATAGCCTCCCTTATTCTCCTGCTTTTCACCTTGTGGGCAATTGGGTTTGAAATGCCCGAACTTTCCACAATTGTAGCAGGCTCCGCGGGGTACTTTCTTTCTCTTGAACTGCTGCGATTTCGGTCCTTGTGGTTGTGGTTTACTAGAACCAGAGTTTTTATAGCTTCCAACATTATGCCTCTGGCGGACATAATTCAGCTCTTGCTGCACCATATTCAGTTCTGGTTCCTTCCTACTAGCTATTAAGTCCTGTTCTATCGCTAGGTGCATAGGAAGATCAGTGACAGACTTAATGGCAGGATTCATTCTTAATGTGGTGGCAGCCACAGCAAGTGAAGGGGGGAGACTATTCAAAATGGTTGCCACTTGCATTCTTTCCGGGATTTCGGTCCCAGCAGTGGATAAGTCCTTAGCCATGACAATCATTTTATTTATATGCTCTACGGCATTGTCTCCCTCTTGCATACAACGATAATTATACTTATGCAAGAGGAGTTGAATGTTAACTTCAGAAGCAGTGTCGTATTTTTCTTTTATTGCATTCCACATGTCCATGGAAGTCTTATAAGTTTCAAAAACTTTGATTAAGTTATCTTCCATGAACATGAGCATAAGACTTTTCGCCTTTTTATCTTTCGACTTCCACTGCTCAAACCCTTTCCTTTCTTCAGGTGTAGATTTATCAGTAATGGTTGGAGCAGTGGTTTCGATTATATCATCAACATTGTCATGAATAAGAGCATACCCTATTTTTCTATGCCACATATCATAATTACTGCCATTAAATTTGTTAATTTTTCCTAGTTCTGATAGAACGAGTTTACTAGCCATTCGGTAAAGAACTAAAACTAAATTAATTAAAAAAATATGTATAAGGTTGATATTTTGACAATTATACTAAAATAGAATAAAGTTAGATAATAAATAAATAAATAAATGAAAAAGAACCTGATTGTTCCAAGTTGGTGAAAGAAGTTCCAATTTGAGCGAGATTGTCACTCAACGGTGTTGATTGGATCAGCACTTGTCGGAGTTTTGTCGTCGTTTCTGACTGGATCCGGAGATAATCTGCTGTTGTTGTTGAGTTCCACCGGATAGAATTTGCGAAGAAATGTGTGGACAACTACAGCTGATAGGGTTTTTTTTTTAAGATGGCTCTGCTGGTTTCAAAGAAACTTTGGGATATTGAGGTGGGATATTGGGCCTCGTGGGCTTTGCTTATGGCAGAAAATAGACAGGCTTTAGTAATGATGGAGTTTGATTTGAAGTAAATGGACGATTAAAAAAAATTGAAGCAGCAACACTGAGCCTTGTAACTGGGCCCTTAAGAAAACGAGTGCCCCACGTTCACTCCGCTCCGTTCAAATCTCTAGCTAGGGTTGTCGCCAAAAAAAAAAAACAAGGGGCGCGGATCTATCTCTCTTCCTCGAGGGTGGAGACTCCGGCGATGAGATCGGCGCGGCTCTGTCGTCGATCGAAGCAGCAAGGGTCATCGAAGGTCGATGGAGGTGCAGTCGTCGATCGTGGCAACCGTCGTCGATTGAAGCTAGCTCGAAATGGCGGCGTTATGGGAGATGAGGATCGAAGCGTGCTCTGATACCAGTATTTGAACACAAAAGAAGAAAAACAGATTTTGAGGGGGGTTCCGCTAATGGGTAAGGGTTTTTCACTTTCCTTTTGTTGTGATTTATCAAGGAGATTTCTCCTCAATTTATAGGGGCTGAACCCACTAACTCCACCCCCCAGATCCGCCCCAATGAGAGATTTTCTCTCAACAACCCTTCCACGTTTTCACGTTCCACAATTCTCTCTACTGAGAATTGTTGATTTGGTCATCTTAGACCAGGTCAAGCTAACAAGAGGGGTCCCCCGATTTGCATTGGGATCCACTTCTCATTCATTTCTCTCTATCTCACTCCTCTCTTGGTGTTTGTTTCACTTTTTTTGGGATGTAGGGTGGATTTCAAGTTTTGGGATGTAAAAAGTGCTTTTTTGAGTTTTGGGATTCCATAAACTTTGTTTGTTTCAAAATTAATTTTGGGATATTGAATCCCTAAGTTATAAAAAATATATATTTTTAGGATTTGTAAAATCTTTCCTTTTGTTTCAACTTTTTTTTTTGGGATATAAGGTGGATTACAAGTTTTGAGGGTTTTAGAATTCCATAAACAATGTTTGTTTCAAAACCAATTTTGGGATATTGAATCCCCAAATTATAAAAAACTATTATATTTTAGAATTTGTGAAATCCTATTTTTGAGAGAGGATTTGGGTTGGTTATTGCACCTATATATTATTAAAAAACTATTATATTGCATTATATTAGTATGCTATACTATACAATAATTAATATAATATAAAATTAATATATTATATATAATATTATAATAATATAATATTTAATATAATACATCTATTCCTCATAGGAGGACCCAAGAATCACTGTTCATGCTGTAGTAAATGAGCAAACTACTGTAACATTATATATATATATATATAATATATACTATATATATATATAATATATATATATATTATATATATATATAATTATATATATATATATGCGAAAAGCTGAATCTAAGGGTGACACCCTTAGGCTCTCCCACCTAAGGACGCAGAACCTAGAATCACATCATTTCCTAAATTTTTTTACGATCCGAATCCCCCCCCCTGAACTTGATCTACACGTTCGTAAACCCAACACACAATTTTGGTGAACCCGTTGTGTTTTGACATTCGCTTGAGCCTGCTGCAAAAAGTTTATTCATGCGAAACCCGTTAAAATATGCCCAACGAGCTGATAAAGGTCAAAAACAACGACATGTCACCTAAAATTTGTACGCCCCTGTGTTGGTTTAAAGAACGTGTAGATCAAGTTCAAACCGGAAGCAGATGCCCAAAAAAATTACGAAATAATGTGATTTTAGGCCGCGCTTTAGGTGGGAAGCCTAAGGTGTCACCTTAGATTCACTTTTCCATATAATAATATATATAGATATATATATATATAATATATATATACTATATATATATATATATATAATATAATATATATATATATATAATATATGTTATATAATACAAGAACCACTGTTCATGTTGTAGGAAATGCTGCAGTAAATACTGTAGCATTATATATATATATATTACATATATATATATAATATATATATATATATATATATATATATTTATATATATATATATATATTATATATAATTATGATATAGTATATATATATATAATATTATATATATATATATAATATATAATATATATAATATATTATATATATATATAATATATATATATATATATATAATATATATATATATATAATAATATATATAATATTATATATATGATATATATATATTATACATATTATGTATTATATATATATATTATATAGATTATATATATTATTATATATAATATGTATACTTATAACAAGAATCACTGTTCATGCTGTAGTAAATTACTGCCTAGCATTATAAATATAAATATAAAATATATATATATTATATTATATATATATTACATGATAATTACAATAATATATATTAAAAGGTATCATGTTATAGTATAATATATTATATTATTTCAAACTATAGTATTATATTATATTATATCATAATATATATATAATATTGTTATATTAGTTTAATATTATTATATTGGTTTAATATAATACACTATAATATAATGGATAAAAATTATATAATATTATAACAATATATGTTATTAAAATATTATATAATATTATAATATATATTTTGTACTATTATATAATATAGTATGTGATATTGCATAATAATATATAATAAATATCATAAAATAAATTATACGTATAAATTACAAATTATAGTAATCCAAATCTCAAAATATTGATGAAACAAACAAAATATTACAAATTATAGTATTCCAGATCCTAAAATATTGGTGAAACAAACAAAATTTTAGAGATCCCAAAACCCACAAAAAAAATTATGGATTTCAAATTCTATGGTGAAATTCATATCCATAAATTTTGGGATTTGAAACAAACACTAATGCTCATGGACACTCTATAGAAAAACCGATATTTTATTTATATGCTTTTTTAGTCTGGCCTGTTTGGTTCAATAGAGACTAGGAATAGGATTAGGAATCCTATTTTATTTATGGATTCAAACCTAATCCATATAAAATTTATAGGCAAGTTTTAGTTTTATGGAATCCCATTTTTTTGCATTCTATGTTTGTTTCACCCAAAGGATTAGGAATCTCACTTTTATAGAATTGGTCCAATTCCTAATATCATGTTTGGTTCAGAAAGAATTGGGAGAGGTGTCAGAAATCGGAATAAGAATTGGGAGATGTGTCAGAAATCATGCCCAATTCCTCTCAAAAAGGTTGGATTTGGGTCTCTTGAAATTACCACTGTTTGAGCCACTTTATAGAATAGCAATTCTATAAAATTTTTTTTGAACCAAACTCAGGATTAGGATTCAGTTGGATTCCATTAATTACGAAAACGTTACTGTCAGGTCCAAATACCATTCTTATTCCATAAACTCGGTGAAACAAACAGGCCCTTATAGACTACATCTTTCACAAATTTGGGACACATATAGCTGCCCATTTCAATTCTCGATATAGTATTTCACACGCTTGTATAGTTGTATCTTATAACACAAAACTAGTATGAATACGATGAATAATTAGCATTATTCAAATATCACGCATGTGGCAATGTGGGCTGTCTTACAATCGAGTTTCCTCGAAAAATGCAGTGTAAAAAATTATTTACATTATAAGACTTTGAAAAGAATTCCAAAAGAAGAAATATAATATTTCCCTTTTCTTTTTTTAATCATTTTAATTTTAATTTTAAGCTTTTTGAATCAACTTTCATTTATTTAAGTAAACAAGTAGTAAGAGAACCAAAAACAAGGACTGATGTACGTACTTCTCTATGCTCTTATGGATCATCATCATTCATCATGTTATTCAGATGATAACCAGTGATTTGAGCATGCATTAAGTTAGCAGCGTACCAATTAAAACATGAAGTTAGCTACACACCAAAGAAAAATATGCAAATTGCAATATCTTAGAATTAAGGGACTAATATCTAAATAATTCTTATCATAAATAAATAAATATGAAATGTACTCAATCTAAAAGCTATTGTTCATGCTACAATAAAATATTACAGTAAATAATGTGGCATAAACAGTAAATCAAATATGATCATATGCATTCGAAGTTACTGTTTATGCTACAGTAATTTATTATAGCATAAACGGTATATCAAATCTGCTCCTCCATACTGAAGTTCGGGTTTGATAAATGACATGAAGCTCGTGCTTGATAAATGATCAGAGCTTTGAATATTTTTGGTCTAGTAAAAGCAAGACATGAAGCTGATGCATGATATAAACCAAGATTTTCATACTCAAATAGAAGGATTGAGATCCTCTACTAATGAGGAGCTTTCTAATATCTTCTAATGGAATCTTGGCCTTTGATTTATCAATCAAAGGCTAAGATCTCCTCATGAGCAAAAGTAGGGGGATGATAAAGATGAGATCTTGGTCTTCGATTGATAAATCAAAGGCTAAGATCTCTTTATTAGTAGATATTAGTAGATGATCTATTAGTAGAGGATCTATTAGTAGAGAGTCACAATCCCAAATAGAAGCGGGCACCATCGTATTAGTGTATATTGCAATTTAATGAAATGATTTAATTAAGTGAGGTGGGCACCGCCATTTAATGTTTAGTTATAAATTCCGAGTGCGGGTACAACTGTACAAGTCAAAACAAATTTGGCTCTTCCCCTTGCAAACCGCTCACGTCACGTGGGGTAATTAATTTTTCATCTATTAATGTTTTTTCTAGCCATTATTAATGATCCCGGTGTTTCGAAGATGGCATGTGCAGGCTTTATCCATGAAGGGAAGTTCAGTTATTATACTATATATTTTATATGTTTTTTTGGTCTTATAGACTACATCTTTCACAAAGTTGGGACACATCTAACTGTCCATTTCAATTCTCGATAGAGTATCTCACATGCTTGTATCTTATAACACAAAACTAGCATGAATACGTTGAATAATTATATCATGCATGTGGTAATGTGGTCTGTCTTGCAATCGAGTTTCCTCAAAAAATGCGGTGTAAAAGAATATTTACATTATAAGCCTTTGAAAAGAATTCCAAAAAAAGAAATAAAATATTTCCCTTTTCTTTTTTTAATCGTTTTAATTTTAAGCTTTTTAAATCAGTGTTCATTTATTTAAGTAAACAAGCAGTAAGAGAACAAAAACAAGGACTGGTGTACTTCTCTATGCTCTTATGGATCATCATCGTGTTATTCAGATGATAAATGGTGATTTGAGCATGCATTAAGTTAGTGGCATACCAATTAAAACATGAAGTTAGCTACACACAAAAGAAAAATATGCAAATTGCAATATCTTAGAATTTAAGGGACTAATATCTAAATAACTCTTATCATAAATAAATAAATAAATAAATAAATATGAAATATACTCAATCTAAAAACTATTGTTCATGTTACAGTAAATACTACATTAAATATAGTGGCATAAACAGTAAATCAAATATGATCATCTGCACTCGAAGTTCCTGTTTATGCTACAATAATTTACTGTAGCATAAACAATATATTAAATCTGCTTCTTCATACTGAAGTTACTATTCATACTACAGTATTTTATTGTATCATAAATAATGAGCAAATTAAATACATTAAAACTTAGATCTTTTTAAGTATAGAGGAGTAGATATGATTTTGTTATGGTGTTTCCCGTCGCTAAAATGTGGTACTTTGCCAGCAACAGACATGTGTCCCCCTACATGCACTGCTCAAATCGAATTGACGATCAGGACCACCAGGATCCCGACTTAGCCAACTCGCCAAGTCGACATCTCCTTAAGTTGACTCAAAGGGTGATACTTGTCGGTCCTCTTGTCGAAGACGACTCACTACGAGCTCACTCGACCAGTTATTCGACACATCGTAGGGTTGACTCGAAAAATGTTACTTCTCGACACCCCTCGCTACAAGCCAAAAGACGACTTCAATCTTAACCCCCCTCCCCCTCCGGACAGCGCGTCGGCGTCACATTAAATACTTGACAGACGCCATCATTTCTCCATCTTCGACACTACAGACGTCACATTAAATACTTCGACACATCGGACCATGTCGGTTTCATGCACTGCCTATCGCACCTCATTAATTGCGAAATGACAGCACCCATCCCGTGGCCGATCCACGACCGACACCTGTAAAGTAGATGCTGACTCATCCGCCAGCTCAAGCTTGGTCAAAAAGACTAGACTACCCAACTTGCTTCGCTATGAAAAGAAAAACCATTACAAATACAATGTTAAGCAATTTCTAAAACTGTAGTCCTCAAAAGTCAGAGACGTCCATACGCAAGAAAAGCAGTGCGAGAGAAGTTGGGTCATCTGAATGTAGGGGCGGATGGCTGTTCCTCTTGACTTATTTTGGTCAGCATCCGCTCTCTGCGTCCAAAATTCTCTCCCTCTCTCCATCATAAATCCCTGGCCACCCTTATAGTAAATATTCTGTAGTCCTCAAAAGTCTCAAGTAGCTTCACCTTCCCCCAACCTCCATTTCCTACTCCCCCTTCAGTTTTTTTCAATTTTTAGTCCTACTATTTATTTACAACAACTCCATCGCAGATCCATCGATCACCTAAACGAAAAAAAAAAGGAAAAAGAAAAGGAAAAAAAAACATGAAGTACCTCGTCGAAGTTGAGAAGGGGGCGCAGGGCTCCGATGGCCGCCCCTCCGTGGGACCCACTTACAGGAGCATCTTCGCCAAGGACGGCTTCCCTCCGCCCATCCCCGGCCTCGAGAGCTGCTGGGATATCTTCCGGTAAATTTAATTTTTTATTCTTTTCTTATTTTTGGGAAATCTTGATTATATTCTCATCAATGTTACTTTTCTATTTTATTAGATTGAGTGTTGAGAAGTATCCTGAGAATCGAATGCTCGGCCGCCGCGAGATCGTCGACGGCAAGGTACCGGTTGCGAGCTTTCCCCCTCTATTTATGGATTTAGTTGCTGATTGGTATTTTTGTTGTTTCTATTTTAGGCGGGTAAATATGTGTGGATGACTTACAAACAAGTGTATGACATCGTGATGAAGCTTGCTGCTTCGATCCGTTGCTGCGGCGTCGAAAAGGTCAGTTCTTTTATGTTCAGTTTTAGTTTTATGTATAATATCAAACAAAGGCAGGGTTTTGGATGGATAAATTGGATCGGTATTTTTGATGATAATTAGAAATTAAGCTGAAGTAGGATGTTTTTCCATCTTAAAAAAAAAATTATATTTAAGAGACTTGTTCTCTGATTGCCCTACAAAAATAAAGATAATTTCATTTCTCTATTTGTTGAAAAGGTGAACCGTTGATTTTTATGACTTCGACTGTTTAATAACCATCTTAGATGCACAAATTGTAACTTACGAGTACTTTTTAACGTTATTACTTATATTATTAAAATGTATTCAAAGATGTAGTTGGTTTAGATCGGCTTTTAGGCCAGAACCCTACTATTGATAGAAAATCAAAAGACAAGCTTTTGAGGGGGGGAAATTAGTTTAAATTGGATTGTTGACCAGTTAATCTACTTTTGCATGGACAAACAAATATACAAAACCTTAACTTTCCTGTTCTCTATTGGGCTTACTCTAGCAAATGTTCACAGACGAAAGTAGCAGATTCTCTTTCTCTGTTGCTTCCGATGTAATCATATAAGAATTTCTTATTTATAAACCGAATTTAAATTTGTCTTGTATCACACTCTTCTCTGTAATTGTATTTTAATACATGCTCTTTAACAAGTTTCACCAGGCTGAGATTTTTTCATTGTTAAGGAATCTTTACTGCAATCACAGTTGTCTCAGTGCAAAAACTTGCTGCTCCATTTATTATATTTCCTAGTTTCTCTCTCTATTTCCGCGTATTACTGAGTTCACCCATTTTTCATGTACATCAAGAATTAGTTAGCTTGCATCCTTTTACATTTGGTCTTTGATCAGTTTGATTATCTAAGTTTAACTTCTGCAAGATGATTGTGCTCAGTACTAATATTAGTTTCAGCACTTCTCTATAATAGAACCCAAAAATGATTGACATGTTTGCCAGCTTTGTGGAACTCATACTTAATGTTTCATTTGTTTTCTTCCAGGAAGGCCGCTGCGGTGTCTTTGGTATCAATTGTCCCGAGTGGGTTATGAGTATGGAGGTACCTACTTTACGTGCATGTGTGTAGTTGATTTTTTTATGGAAACTTGAAGTCTGATATTATCTTGGGCTGTGGACCTTTTAAACTGTCATTGCTTTATTTCTATTGTATCTTCATAATGGCTTATCTTGGAGAAGCCGTAGCATTTTAGTCTTTAACTTTAAAGTTATTTATTTTATTGTACTCTATCTGACCTTTTACAGGCTTGCAATGCTCTTGGAGCTTATTGCGTTCCCCTGTATGATACACTTGGTATGTGTTATACCTTCTGTTCTTAGTACTGTATTTATTTACATTCAGTAGGCATACAGTGGTAGAAGGATGCATGATGCGTGAACATGAAAGCCATCACTGTGTGTGATCTTGAGCTTCATAACCTTATATAGTCTGCTAAAATTACTATATGATGACTGTTTGCTGCCTCTTTTCTTGTCTTTAGGTGCTGGTGCAATCGAATTTGTTATATGCCATGCAGAGGTCCAGATCGTCTTTGTGGAAGAGAAAAAGATCGGGGAGGTACTATGCTTTACATGTGTTTTTGGTATACTTTTCTCTTTCTGCATGCAACAATTTGAGTAGTTGCGTCTGACTTTACAATAGTATTATGCTACGCTGTAAACTGGAATATTTACTGTGCCATTAAGCCATGAACTTGAAGTTCTTTTGCTCCACCTTTTTCAACATTTTGATGTCATGAATATATCTCTACACTGGCTTCCGAGCCAAAATGTGACTCCAGTAAGTCAGATAAACAGTCTTAAACAAGCAAGCCAATGGGAGATGGCTATAAGAGAAGGATTAAGGTAGGATGCAACAGAGCGCATATGGCTCTGGTAGATTATACTTGGGGAAGGTGGCTTGCTGGTTGCTGTGGCTGCCAAAAGAAAATGACAGGGAGAAAAGAAGCATGTCATTTACTTCTACAAAAGGGAATAGGAAATGGAGATCTATGTGCACGTGTTTGAAATAAATAAGAATGGCTGACTGTTCACGTTAGGTATTTCCAATCGATAAAAGTATGTAGTTACTATCATAAGTTAAAACAGTTTTCAATTTTCGAACAGAACCATTTAGGCATAATAGGTTGCGTTTTGAGCTTCACATTTTAACACAGTAAGTCTAATTCAGTTGCATGCTAAAGATGGTTTCTGAAGTCTCCTCTTTAGGCTAATGTCATCAAATTCATGTTCTAAAGCAAAATGCCATATAGACACCTGCCTGACCCCTATGGGAACAAGGACAGGTGCTTGACTTTAACTTTTATAATCGCTTAGGTTAAGTTGGTACTTGGAGGGAAAAAAGAAACAGATCCTAGCACTCTCAGAAGTGGAAAACCTAGAAGAAAAATGTATAAATCTGTTGATATTCTCGTAAGACAGCTGAGATTGAGAAAAATTAACTAAGCTCAAGTCTATTATGGAAAAAAGAATTGATTGCATAATCTATTGCATTCACAAACAGCACAAGACAGAAAAAAGGAAAGCATAAAAACTTTAAAGCACTTCATTGTGGGCCATTGATATATTTCCGATATTTAAGGCCTGCAAGTATTTCTCCTGAACGTTTGTATGTATTTTTCTGGAAATGTACTCTTTTTCCTAGTGTGTTGGTACAACCATATATTGACATGATGTTACACTTCAAATTTTTAGTGTTCGCCTGATCATAAGAGTATATATATACTTTAATGTGTGTTCGATAATGTATGAATGTAATGGGTGTTTCTGCTAGTATTCTTTGGAAGAGGGAGGGTACAGTATGAACCAGTTGACTTTGCATCTGTTTTAGCAATGATGCTTCACTTGCCTTGAAACCTTTTTGTTAAATTTTCTGTTTCTTGAGACATTGAAGAAGAATGATAGTGTTGTGTTATTCCTTATCTTTTACGCATACTTAATGTGTTGACAAACTTAACTAATTTTGTGATTTTCTCTTTATCAGGTGCTGAAAACCTTTCCCAATTCAACTAAATTCTTGAAAAGTAAGTTATAAATGGGTTATTGCTCAGTGTTTGCTGCTTCTGCTTTTCCTCATTTACATTTTAAAAGCATTTTTTTATATTACAGCTATTGTAAGTTTCGGGAAGGTACCTGCTGAGCAAAGAGAGGAAGTTGAAGAGTCTGGCTTGGCAATATACTCTTGGGATGAATTTTTGCTCTTGGTAGGTTAACAACTATGATGTTTGAGGTTTTTGTGTGCCCCTCGGTACTTTTTCATGCCAGCAATTTCATTCTATTTTGTAGCTGAAACATTCATGATATGCTTTAATAAATTTTAGTTGAATTGTAGGAGAAGTCTTTAATTATTTTTCATTCAGGACGAATATTAATTCCTGCATCCTTTCACAGTTTTATGTATGTTTATAGCTTTGGATAGAAGTGAGCTATGAATTCTTTCTTCAATATTTAACTATTAGCATCCTTATACCTGTGAACTTGCAAAAAGTACATATGTGCTATAAGGGCTGTGAGTTTTAATCTTAACTGCAATTTTCACTGGAGATTCAGATTCTGTGTTGTACCTGCAGGGAGGCAATGAACAATTCGATCTCCCCGTAAACAAGAAGACAGATATCTGTACTATAATGTACACTAGTGGAACAACTGGTGACCCTAAGGGTGTTATGATTTCCAACGAAAACATTATCACTCTGATTGCTGGTGTTGATCGGCTTCTTAATTGCATGAATGAGCAGGTGATTTTATAGCATTTACTCATTGCTTTTAAAATGTTCTTTAATGTTTATTATTGCTTGTTATAAATATGCTCTATATTTTGATTCGTAGGTTAGTATGTTCTTCGCTACACGCGCGCTCGCGCTCGCACACATACACATACATATTTGATATGACTTTTAACTTTTTTATTGTTCCTTGGAATTAATACAGCTGAAAATGGATGATGTTTACCTGTCATATCTCCCTCTTGCACATATCTTTGATCGGGTGATTGAAGAGTTGTTTATTTTCAATGGGGCTTCAATAGGATTTTGGCGTGGGGTGAGAGACTTAAAACTTATAATATCCTTTCCAGTTATGTCAATTTATTTAGTCCCAACTTTCTTGTGTAGGATGTCAAGTTGTTGGTTGAAGACATTGGAGAGCTAAAACCATCCATTTTCTGTGCGGTTCCACGTGTATTGGATCGGATATATACAGGTGGACATTAGACCCTGTGCCTCTTTGTTTTGCAACACCTTGGCATGTTTTATTCCAAACAGTATAAAGGATTTTCCTCAAACATTGTGAATGGTGCCAAAACAAACTCCAAAAATATCTGTGCATGTTCATGCACTATGCCTTCGTGGCAAACCATATTTGAAATATATTTGACTGCTAAAACCTGGAAATGAGTGCACAGAGAGGTATCTTTTCTTAGAAAGTTGTTTATATGCATAGTTTACGTACTTTAATCTGAATGATGTATGTATACCTCCTCATATCCCCTAGACTCTCGATATGGAGAAAGGGGTATTCACCTTGCTCCTTTAAGGTCTTCAAAGTTTTGGATTATTCTCCAACAACAATATCAAAATGAAAATGACTTTGTTCGACGCTTCATATATTTATAGTAATACACTAAGCATCACCCATGATATTGAGTATTATAATGTTTCTCAATGATTACTGTGGCACCTTTCCCTCCGCATAAGGGGCTAGTAGGTGATATCCTACCCTCTGTGCACATCCATCTTTGTGAAGCTTCCTCTGTGCACATCCATCTCTGTGAAGCTTTTGCTTGTCGATAGACAATTGGTAGGTCGCACATCAGACATCAATATGGCTTTATTCACGAGAAAAGGCGTGTCATGATTTCCTCATAGATTGCTACCCAGCTTTCCGCAGTGGATTAAAATATTTTTCGACTGTCTCCCACTCACTCCATCCTCTAGTGTTTGACTCTATATAGTGTCGTGTATGAAGGACTACAAATGCCCTCACCATGTTTGACATAGCCCACCCAAGGCCTGTCAGGTATTGGCAACTTTCTACATCCATGTCAGATGTGTTTGCATATGAACAGAAAATTTGTTCTTTTTTCCATTACTATCGAGTGTTTTACATACCTTTTACATGTTGGGAAAACATATCCCTTTGTTACAGGCACATTTGTTCCATTCACCCATGGATGTTCTTTAAATTCCTACCTACAGGGTTTGAAACAGTGACTTCCTACAACCCACCTCCACCCTTTTACCACTGTGTGAGACTTCAGTGATACTTACAATGGTTAGAGACTGTTTCTAATTGTTTCCTCACTTATATTTCAGGTTTGCAGACTAAGATATCTTCTGGAGGTTTCCTGAAGAGTACACTGTTCAACATTGGCTATAGATAGTAAGTTCTTGCATGGATTCTATTAGTTAAACCAAATTCATTTTCTAAAATTTTTGGCTATAGATCCTCAATGGTTAGCATATTTGATATTACTCTCTCTAAATATGTTATTTGACATAATTGCCTAACGAAGTGGTACACATCAGTTACAATCCCTCGTCCATTAGTTTGCAAGCTCCAGAGTCCAGACAAGCTCTGGAAGGACTAATAAATAAGTGGACTCTGCATGGTTAGGAGCTCTCAAATGTAATTAGTAGGCCTTTGACCTGTAAGTTACAGTTAATACTTTTTCTGGCCTTCAATCTTCAATCCTAAACTACACACAATTACCTTACTCATTCAGTATTTCTATTCTTTGCTTTGTTTTCCTATGAAGGTTTTTCTTTATAAAATTATCTATGTGTTTCAGCCATAATCTATTTATGAAGTTGCATAATAACAACTAACCAAATTCACTATTTACTATTATTGGACTTTTGTTGACGTGCTTGTTGGAATTTGGCAGCAAACTGTATAACATGGTGAAGGGAAGTAAACATGACGAGGCAGCTTCAATTTTTGATAAGATCGTTTTTAGTAAGGTATTGAACCTGCCAAAATGACAATCTTCTGTGAAGCATGAAACTTATTTGCCACTGTCTTTCTGTTTCTGTTCCTTGTTTACACAATTCAGTTTTCATGGTCTATCTAGGTAAAAGATGGACTAGGTGGCAACGTTCGGCTTATATTATCTGGAGCCGCTCCTCTAGCTAAACATGTTGAAGAATATTTACGAGTTGTGTCATGTGCCCATGTTCTGCAAGGATATGGTATGAACTATCCAAACAATCTTAAACATTATGAAGTATGCTACCATATTAGTGCGTATGTACACTAACAGTTATGTGGAACTCCATTTTCTTGATCTCTGCTGTAAAATGCTAGTTGTTTGCATAATGCACATGAAAAAGATAAAACTAAATCATATAATTTTAAGGAAATCAATATAAATCAGAAAGAATAGAGTTCCAAGGAAATACTCTTGTGATTTTGTCTATAGAAATCAGACCTATCAGTAGTGAGATTGATCCTAAGATGATGTTACGGGTAGATATGCTGATTACTTTAAACTAACTTCTCCTATTACGTTACATCATTCCAATATTTCTCGAAAATAACTTCTATTTATTTTCCAACCATTGATTCAGGCTTTTCAAGTATATTACATCATGTATTGGCCTGTTAAATTATCATTATCACAAGTTATCATACCGCTTTTCCAAAATATGGTACTTATATTTCTTTCTTTTGTTTGGTCCTTTCTTTTTTCTTTCTTCTTCTTCTTCTTCTTCTTCTTCTTGTTCTTTTTTTTTGTGTGTGTTGGTGGGGTTTACTTCACTCTCCAGCCTATAGATTACAGTTTCCAGGATATTCCTTCTATGATTTTCAATAACAGCGTTTAATTGGCTCTCTTCAGGACCATCTCTCTTATCACTTATTTAAAAAGCTGACTCCAGCACTTTAAGTTGTTATTGATTTTTCTATTATAATGCTAATAAAGGAATATAAGCTATAACTTAGCATTGAAGGAAAAATTACACTTTAGAATATAAAAAGAGATGATTATTCACTCAAATGCATTGCTGATTTCTATTGTTTGTGTGTAGGTCTTACGGAGTCTTGTGCTGGGACTTTTGTGTCACTTCCAAACAATCTGTCTATGCTTGGGACAGTAGGCCCACCAGTACCAAATGTTGACGTGCGCCTGGAATCTGTTCCAGAAATGAACTATGATGCTTTATCTGACACTCCTCGAGGAGAAATCTGCATTAAGGGAAATACACTATTCTCAGGATACTACAAACGAGAAGACCTCACAAATGAGGTTCTGGTTGATGGTTGGTTTCATACAGGTATATTCTCCATGCATACAATCTTTTTAACAATTTTTTGATAAACAACTCTGACAAGCTTTTTATTTGAAAATTTGGGGTTGGAACATGAAGCCTTTTCTTCATTTAATTAATAATTTTGTGATAAAACATACACTCAATCATGTGTTTGAAGCAAGATGTTAGCCCAGTGTAGCTCGACTCTTATTGTTGGCATTTTGCAATGTGTTGTAGTCAAATAAAATCAGAGACTATCAACTTAGACAAGTACTAAGCCTCTGAGTATGCATTTAAACATTACTGAAATTCTGCCATTCAAGGTTCTTGGTGTTCAGTTTTGTCCTCAAGACTCATCCAGAGGCCATTTGACATGCTTTTATTGGTCTTCACTTGCAGGGGACATTGGTGAATGGCAGCCTGATGGAAGCATGAAAATTATTGATCGAAAGAAAAACATATTTAAGCTTTCACAAGGCGAATATGTTGCTGTTGAAAATCTGGAAAACATTTATGGTCTTGCGTCTGCCACAGATGCTGTAAGTAGTTGGCCCTTACTGCTCTGTGATAAATGACAACAAGAATGCCGCCTCTTTTCCTATTACCTGGTAGTTTCTCCTATCATTAAGAACCGTACCTACAAATTCTTGAAAGCCAGAGACATCCATTTATTCTATAGTTGTTCTGATCAACCTTTGAAAACTTGGTGTCCTTACATGGTTTTCCTCTGTTGCTATCATTATTGGAAGTGACAGCGATTCTGGTAGTTTCATATATGAATTTTGGTATGTGGAATAATCTAGCTTAATCATAAGCATTTTATTCATTGATTCTTTTTTCATTTTCCCAATAATACTAACAGATCAATTTTTTATGCTTCAAACCTTTAATCTCCTCTTTCAGTTTACTAGGCAATCGATCCTTAATAGTCAATATCAGCTACTACCAACTGTAATCAATTGGTTTCAGATAGATGATACGTTGTATGCTTAAAATCTGGTAGGATGGCAGATGATTGTGGGTGTCAGACGATACATTGAACCTTAGTTCAAATACATTGTTTAGCTAATTTGATGCATCTAACCAAAATTTGTCATTGTTGAATGTTTTCACAGTTCTCTTGGTTTTGTTCAGATATGGATATATGGAAATAGCTTCGAGTCTTGCCTTGTTGCTGTTGTCAATCCTAATAAGGATGCTCTTGAGGGCTGGGCTGCACAAAATGGTGCAAGTGGCGATTTTGATGCCCTCTGTGAGAATCCAAAAGCAAAAGAATACATTCTTGGGGAACTTACAAAGATTGCAAAAGAAAAGAAGGTGAATTGTTCTTAAGCTTCAGATCGGTTTCTCATCTTCTATTTCTACTTTTACAAATATAATGGCAATACTGCTTGTCGATTATTAAGTCTAATTTTGGTTTCTTTTGATCAATCTTCTAACAGCTGAAAGGTTTTGAGTTCATAAAAGCTGTTCACCTTGACCCTGTCCCATTCGACATGGAACGCGATTTGCTTACCCCGACATATAAGAAAAAGAGGCCTCAGATGCTCAAATATTATCAGGTACGATGCTTTAGCTAACACGATATTTCTCTACATAAAGTGCATTCGCCAAGTTAGTTAAGATGCTTATCTTGCTGGTTTTATTTCTCAGACTATCATTGATGGCCTGTATAAAAGCACCAAGTGAGCAAGCGAGGTTACCTATGATCAGCCACTGCTGGCGCTGTCATTTTTATTGCAGATGTACAAATGAAAACTATACATTTACACAAACACAAAAGTTTAAATTATATGTTGATACTTGAAGAGTTTTTACAAATGTGATACATAGAACTGCAGAATATGAATATCTGATAGAAAGCAAATTACTCTTCTCGACCGCTCTTAGTAAATCCTTTGCAATCAGATCCATTGATTTGTTGTGGAAGATTGAGCTAAGTTCGAAAGAAATTGAACGAAAGAAACAATCGTGCCGATTTCTCTCTTTTGATGGGCGACGGAAGAAGAGAACGCGATTAAAGTTAGCGTTATTTGTCTACAGGCAAAGAAGCGATTATGCTATGACCACCCCTTTCAGGTCTCACGCAATAGTAAATATGTTCCTTTAGGGCCTGTTTGTTTGCCTAAAAAACGAGGGAAATCAAAGAATATGGAACTTATTTCTAAGAAAAATTGTTTTGAGATCGTTTGGTTGGCTAAAAGAAAAAAAAAAAAAATCAAAGAATGAGAGATGAGTTCTCACATTATTATTGGATGATTTGGGTGAGTTTTTAAGAAAATTTGTTTTGAGGTTGTTTGGGTGGCTAAAAAAATAAGAAAATAAATTATAAGAAACCTATTTCCTGTAATAGGTTCTTTTCTTGTGTTTGGTTCATTCATAAAAATAAAATAAATTATAAGAAACCTATTTCCTGTAATAGGTTCTTTTCTTGTGTTTGGTTCATTCATAAAAATAAGAAAATAGATGAGATGCTATTTCCTGTAATAGGTTCTTTTCTTGTGTTTGGTTCATTCATAAAAATAAGAAAATAGATGAGATGATATGAGTTGTCAATATATTATTGGATGATGTGACTCACATCTAAGGAAATCGATTTCCTAGCTTTTTTGGAGGAAATGAGTGAAAATGAAATGTTAATGGGATGAGATAGAGTTGTCACTATATTATTGGATGATGTGAGTGATTTTTAAAAATGAGATGTGATGGAGATGAGATGAGTTGGATGATGTGACCCATTTCTTGTGTTTGATTTATTTTTAGGGGCTGTTTGGTTGGTTTCTAAAAAACCAAGAATAGGAAATTGTAACTTGGAAATCTCCAAAAGTTCAATTTCCACCATTTCCATCCCTAAAACTTACCCACAACATCCAATAAAATATTATTTTTATCCAATAACTCATCCACATCATCCAATAAAATATTATTTTCACCCAACAATTCATCTCATATCATCAAATAAAATAAACCAAACAAAAGAAATGGGTCACATCATCCAACTCATCTCATCTCTATCACATCTCATCTTTAAAAATCACCCACATCATCCAATAATATTGTGACAACTCATCTCATCTCATCTCCATTTCATCTCCATCCATTTCCTCCAAAAAAACAAGGAAATTGATTTCCTTAAGTGTGGGTCACATCATCCAATAATATAATGACAACTCATCTCATCTCATCTCATCTCCTATTTTTAAGAATGAACCAAACACAAGAGAATAACCTATTATAAGAAATAGGTTTCCTATTCTTTGATTTCCTTCTTTTTTAACCAACCAAACAACCTCAAAACAACTTTTCTTAAAAAATCACTCACATCATCCAATAATATGGTGACAACTCATCTCATCTCATCTCCTATTATTTGATTTCCTTCTTTTTTTAGCCAACCAAACAACTATAAAACAATTTTTTAAGGAAATAGGTTTCCTATTCCTTGATTTCCTTCTTTTTTTTGGCAAGCAAACAGCCCCTAGGAGATGATATGAGATGAGTTGTTGGATAAAAATAATATTTTATTGGATGTTTTTGTGATTTTTAGGGATGGAAATAGATGAAAATAATATTTTATTGATTTCGATGTACTCTTTTTATTTTCTTGATTTCTAGGAAACCAACCAAACAGCCCCTTACTGGTCAAAATAAGAATAGGTCATTGTTCAAAATAAAAACATAATTGATTCCCATTTCTGAAGCAGTACAATCAGAGAAATACACTCAAGTGGCATTTAACAGAAGCAATTCGAACAGCAACAGTAAGCTACATTTTACGCACAATAAATGCTAAAAACAGTGACATCTGGTTTACATTCCAACTTAGGGTCTGTTTGTTTGTCTAAAAAAAGTGGGAAATCAAAGAAATGGAAAACTATTTCTAAAAAGAATTGTTTTGGGAGTGTTTGGTTTGCTAAAAAAAGAAGGAAATCAAAGAAATGAAGATGAGATGAGATGAGTTGTCACCTTATTAGAGGATGATGTGAGTGATTTTTTAAGAAAACTTGTTTTGATGTTGTTTGGTTGGCCAAAAAAATAATAAAATAAATTATAAGAAACATATTTCTTGTAATAGGTTGTTTTCTTTTGTTTGGTTCATACTTAAAAATAAGAAAATAGATGAGATGAGATGAGTTGCCATTATATTATTGGATGATGTCACCCACACTTAAGGAAATTGTTTTCCTAGCTTTTTAGGAGGAAATAAGTGGAAATAAAATGTTAATGAGATGAGATGAGTTGTCACCATCTTATTGGATGATGTGAGTGATTTGAAATGATGAGATGAGATGAGTTGAGTGATGTTGTGAATGAAAATAATATTTTATTAGGTGTGGTTGATGAGTTGTTGTATGAAAATAATATTTTATTAGATGTGGTTGATGTGGTGGATGAGTTGTTGGATGAAAATAATATTTTATTAGATATGGTGGATGAGTTGTTGGATAAAAATAATATTTTATTAGATGTTGTGGGTGAGTTTTATGGATGGAAATGGATGAAATTGTACTTTTGAGTTTTATGGATGGAAATGGATGAAATTGTACTTTTTGAGTTTTCTTTGTTTTCATTTCTATTTCTTGTTTTTTTATGAAATAACCAAACAGGCCCTTACCCAAATTCGGACAGCGTTAGATGCTGAGAGCTGTGGGCCCACGGCCAGAAATTCGTGTCAACTGCTTAGCCACACCCAGAGACACTAGGTTAACTAATTCCAGTTAGGGTCTGTTTGGTACATTTCAGAAAAAAAGAAGGAATGAAAAATAGTGTTTGAAAATTCATTTCAGAACATTTCAGAGGGTTTCCCGTATTTCTTTTATTTCGATTGTTTCACATTGAAATAAAAAAAAATGGAAAACTCAACCGTCGTTTTAATAGTGATTTCAACATTTAAATATTACATTTTAATCCTACATTTTTATTTTTTGGGTTTGTTTGAACATAAAAAAAAAGAAGAAAACAGAACTTAGCCGTTGTTTCAATAGTGATGTCAACATTTAAATATTGCCTTTTAATCTTTAGCCGCCGTTTCAACGGTGTTTTGGACAATTAAATATTGCCCGATGTGATATTTCCACTCGGTTTTGATCTGAAATGGGTTTTCTTCAAAATCTAACGTGGCATCCTACGTGACGCCCTCATTTCTTTAAATCACACAACGAAACAAACTTGTGATTTATAAATCCCTTGAAACCAAAATCTGATGTGGCACTATTGACATTTCCCTAAATCCCATGTGGCACCCCATTTAAATCCCTTGAAACCAAAATCTGATGTGGCACTATTGACATTTCCCTAAATCCCATGTGGCACCCCATTTCCTCATTTTTTGGGCAAACAAACAAGTGGCACTATTGACATTTCCCTAAATCCCATGTGGCACCCCATTTCCTCATTTTTTGGGCAAACAAACAATTATTATATTCCCTTTTTTTTTTCCTTCACGCATCTAGTTTCATATTTTTGGTACCATAATAATGGGTTTTCAAATCTTATTACTCCAAATTTGCTTCCAAACTATATCACAGATTCATTGACCTATCGCTCCACCGGAGCTACGTTGGGCACAATACTATTGAGAGAGTTTGTAATACCAAAAGAAGCCCAACTACTTCTAACTTGTTGCAGGTGGCCATAAATCAGACTGTTGGGATCATCAGAGAGCTGAAAATAATCTTATTCTTCTTCTTCCGAAATTAATGTACTGGTCGCACATACAAGGAGCCATAAATCACACAACAATACTAACTGGGTCGGCTCGTAAAAACAGTTTTTATTAGAATAAGTAACAGCGACATTCCTTCTCGACACACCTTTTCTACTAGGCATGAATTGTTAGCTTTTAGCAGTCTGTTGCAGATTCATATGGTGACTATTGAGAGTCAATTTTCTGGTTCTTCGTTCATCTTCTCCTTCGAACCATCAGATGGCTTCCGCTGCACCAACGATAGCACAGAAATATTAAAAAAAAACTCCTATGAAATTTTTGGTCCTATAACTACTTGTATTAATTGAGAAGTAGAAAAAAAAATGCAGCGTAAAAATCTCTATGGAAACACATGAGGTGTCCTCAAACACTCTGATTTCTAACCACGACATTCTCTATAACTAATACGCATTCCCTAAATCCGACTGAAAAAAAAACTATGGAAAACATGGAAGGCGTCCCATTCTGTGAACATTCTCTATACCCTTGAAAGGTAAATGGAACCATGGGAGGGTCTTTAAACAGTCTGATCTCTAACCAAGATTTCTGTTAGGACATCAGCATCCAACCATAAAGTCACGTAGACCACAATGAAGGACATGAAACATATAATAGATCATCCACGAAGATGGTCCGCCATCACTCTCTTGGTATACCATATGGGAATTTACCTACATTCTTAACTCCAATCCGGCGACCTTCTAATTCCTGTTTTCAAGAAGAGCGACTGTCACATCAAAGAGATATGTACATCTCCATCTATCAAAAGAGTCGTTATTTACCTAAGTCCATTCCCCAAACCTTTAGAGTTTAGGGGCAAGCAGCGACGGCGATCTTGCAAGAACTTACCTACATTCTTAACTCCAATCCTGCGACCTTCTAATTCCTGTTTTCTGTTCTCTTTTTTGTAATTTTTAATGTGGTTTACGAATGAGATTTTTTTTAAAAGAGACCATTTTATAAGAATAATTAGCAAAATCGTGTGAGCACGTGGGGTCCACCATACCCACGTGAACAAAGAACTTTGTTCATAGGTGCGGAAAGGAGCAGGCCCACCCGACATGCGCTTCTATAAATAGAGCGCTTAGGGTTTTGCGCTGATGTGAGCAAGGCAGGAGGTTTTTTCTTTGTTGGCGGCTACGAAGAAAAGTGGGTGCAGAGGTTTGCTAATTGCGGCGGCAGAAAGGCTTCGTGCAGGAGTTTTTTCTTTGGTTTGCGGCTGCAGGAGAAAAAATAATTACAGAGAGAGAAAGTGCAATGAGTTATCTACTGTAGATATTTTCAGCAGTGAAGATTTCTTGTGTGCAGTCATTTTTTGTACTTTGAGAGAATATTTGTGTGAGGGATCTGAGAGTTTGTGAGAGGGTTTAGGTTGTGAGATTGTAAACCCTTATTGTATCTCTCCCTCTAATAGTAGATCTCCCCCCTCCTTGTCCCGTGGACGTAGGCAATTTGCCGAACCACGTAAAATTTGTGTTCTTGTCGTGATTTGTAATAGCTTGTATGATCCCTCGACAGGTCAGTCCTAGAACTGATGAGAGGAAGAGTTGATATCTCACTTTGTTGAGATATCCGCTTCAGATTCTTGTTTCCTTGGTGAGACAGGAATTCTTACGATCTAATCTCTTGTTGTGCACCTTGCGCACCGAAGGTGCTGTCAAAATTTTCGCTGCGCACAAGTGGTATCAGAGCTCGGGGTTGGATTTAGGAGCTTGTTCGAAGGATTCGCTGTTAGATTCTTATTTGAAGAGTTAGATCGACAACATGGGTGAAACAAACACATCGGGATCGTCTCTTACGAAGACGATACATAGTTTGAGCATCAATAACATGAAGATTGATGTTTCGAAGTTTGACGGTAAGATTAATTTCGGATTGTGGAGGTGTCAGGTGATGGACGCATTAGACGCTCAGAATTTGGAGGAGACTCTTGAGTTACAAGAGAAACCTGACGATATGGAAGCTAATGTTTGGAAGAAGATGAATAGTAGGGCGTGTGGAGTTATTCGGTCATGCTTGACGCCGGATCTTATTTATGACGTGATGAACGAGACGTCGGTGAAGAAGATTTGAAAAACACTCAATGAAAAGTATCTTACTAAGAGCATTGAGAATCGACTTCACTTGAAGAAGAGGTTTTACAAGTTCAAGATGAAGATGAGAGTTTCCATTAGGGAGCATGTTAACAATTTCACAAAGCTACTTTCAGACATGGCTAATGTGGATATCATGGTTGAGGATGAAGACAAGGCGATGCTACTTTTGTGTTCGTTGCCCGATGATGATTATTGTACTTTTGTCCTAACTATGATTAATGGAAGAACTACTATAAGTTACAAGGAGGTGACCTCAGCGTTGGTGAATTATGAGTTGAGGAAGAGTGTTGATGAGTCATCCGAGAAGGCATCGGGAGATGCATTAGTAGTTCAAGGCCGTGGTTCAAACCGAACCAGAAGGTCGCGGTCTAGAGGTGCACATCATGGGATTCGTAGGAATCAGTGTGCTTTTTGTAAAGAGGATGGATATTGAAAGCCGAATGCCCAAAGTTAGATCGAGCCGAGAAAAATAAGGGAAAACTGTACAAGCTTCAGAGGTGAATGTTCTCAAGACTAGTGGTAACAATTCAGATTCGGATTCTTCAGACTATTCGTTGTCTGCACTACCGTCAGTTTGTGTTGTCAACTCTACAGAATGGATGTTGGATTCGGGTGCTTCATACCACGTTTGCCCTAGAAAGGATTGGTTCTCCAGCTTTTAGAAGTTAGAAAGAGAGGATGTTGTGCTCATGGGTAATGGACATGCATGCTCTATTAGTGGTATTGGTACTGTTTGGATTAAGATGAGTGACGGGGTGATTCGGGAGTTGAATAAAGTGAGGTTCGTTCCACAATTAAAGATGAACATCATTTTACTTGGAGCTTTGAAGGCAGCAAGCTATAGGGTAACCTTGGTGGACGCACGCTTGAAAGTCATATTGGGATCCATGATTGTGATGAAGGGCGTCAGAAGGATCAATTTGTATTATTTGCCTGGAAGCACGGCAATTAATAAGGAGATGACGACTTCATCAGATTCGGCTAGACTGTGACGTTGTTTAATGCTGGGTTATTTGATTGGTAATACCGTGCATAGGTTGTTGAGGAATGCTATGACCTGCAGTTTGAAGTCCTGTAAACCCATTAGTATGAGCAAGAAGCTAAGGTGGAGTTAGGCACTTCTATCCATCATTCGAGGGGTCTTCTGAGGGGTGTTCATTCAGGCATTCGGGAGCCTTCCAAGAGAGCATCATTGGGAGGTAATAGGTATGTGGTTTCCGCAGTTGGGGATTGCTCTAGGCATTGGTGGGTTGCAACCAAATCATGTTGGTGTGAAGTCCTAGAAGCCCGCAACAAATGAAGTGTATTGGCAGAAATGTGAAGGTACTTCAGTCTGATGTTAGAGGGAGGTGCAAGATGGACCTATTTCTGTATTTGTGCCGAGCTCACGGCAATTGGAGACACTTCATTGGTGTGGAAACCTTGAGGCGACGTGATGAGATGACAGATTTGGGGAGCTGTTCCTTTCTAGAGGAGGATCGACGTTTGATATCGAGCATTGGCATTGGTGTGCGGGCTAAGACATGTTTGGACCGTCTCATGTATAGGTTGTCGACTGTTGCATGTAGAGATATGGGATCTGATGGAACTGCTTCAGATTTTGGGTTACGTTGGATGTTTGGCTACCCAGCACTTGGTCACACCATGGATGTGAGATTTGATCCGATAGCACATTTAGGATTCAGAGACGTGTTTAATTATCATGTATTAGCTTCTGACTTTGTTCTGAGAAGGTATATTACGTTTAACTCTCGGCAGGTAGAGAGTGGTGATCAGAACATTAGAACATCGCAGCAGGTGAAGAGTGATGCTACTCCACGTTGGGTGGAGACTCCAGATCATACTGCATCATTAGAGATTCTAGCTGATGTGACACAGATTGAGAATCATGTTGTTTTGGATGCAGATGATAGGTTGATTGATTCGAGTGTAGCTGATAGATGTAGTCTAGACATGGCCGTTGGTTCATCTCAAGTGGAGGTGTTTGGATTGTTTCAGTTTAGGACCATTGGAGGTGCTATCAGCCGTAGACTTGATCGTGATGTTAGAGAAGGGTTGCAAACTCTTTTATTGGATTGAGGTCGTTAGTAGCCATTTAGATGAACTACGTGAGGCTTGATTCCTTGGGCAATAGGATACGTAGGCAGTCATGTTTGATGCAGCCAATTTGGATTAGCTGTTTTTGATGGGGGTGAGATTGTTTAGACTCTCGTTCGGGTTCCTGACTTGTTGTCGAATGAGTGAGACATTTGGTTGCTTTGGTGTCGGCTTAATTTTTTGGTAGAAAACTTCACCGAGGTGGAGAATTGTGAGCACGTGGGGTCCACCATACCCACGTGAACAAAGAACTTTGTTCATAGGTGCGGAAAGGAGCAGGCCCATCCGACATGCGCTTCTATAAAGAGAGCGCCTAGGGTTTTGCGCTGATGTGAGCAAGGCAGAAGGTTTTTTCTTTGTTGGCGGCTACGAAGAAAAGTGGGTGCAGAGGTTTGCTAATTGCGGCGGTAGAAAGGCTTCGTGCAGGAGTTTTTTCTTTGGTTTGCGGCTGCAGGAGAAAAAATAATTACAGAGAGAAAGTGCAAGGAGTTATCTGCTGTAGATATTTTCAGCAGTGAAGATTTCTTGCGTGCAGTCATTTTTTGTACTTTGAGAGAATATTTGTGTGAGGGATCTGAGAGTTTGTGAGAGGGTTTAGGTTGTGAGATTGTAAACCCTTATTGTATCTCTCCCTCTAATAGTAGATCTCCTCCCTCCTTGTACCGTGGACATAGGCAATTTGTCGAACCACGTAAAATTTCTGTTCTTGCCGTGATTTGTAATAGCTTGTAGGATCCCTCGACAAGTCAGTCCTAGAACTGATGAGAGGAAGAGCCGATATCTCACTTTGTTGAGATATCCGCTTCAGATTCTTGTTTCCTTGGTGAGACATGAATTCTTACGATCTAATCTCTTGTTGTGCACCTTGCGCACCGGAGGTGCTGCCAAAATTTTCGCTGCGCACAACAAATCGACCATTTCATAAAATAATTAGCAAAATCGACCTCTTTTTGGCCACATCATCAAGGCTGGCCGAAAAGTGGTCGATTTCACAAAATATCATTTCTAAAACACATAGGACTAGTAGTCCTATGTAATTAGCGATGTTAATCACAAGATACTAATGCTTCTCTCATTCCCGTTCCCCTCCTCAACCCACACCACTCCCCTTCCGCCGCTGCTCTGTGCCTCGCCTGCCACTCCAGCCACCCTCACAAACTCCTCTAGCAACCTCTCAACAACCAAACTCATCACAACCACTCCCAAAATACCCTCCAACACCCCAATTCTCCACCAATTTCGTCCACTCGAGCCATACAATTCCCTTCAAACCAATGTCCATCGAATTGGCCCCAAATCGTTGATCGCCCCCAAATCGTTGTAGGCTTCTCCTCTTTGATTGTGGAATTGGGATCTGAAGAGGGATTTAGGGTGCAGGCAATGGGTAGAATGGAGAAAACGATGGACGGCGAAGGAGGAGAGGGCAGAGCGGGAGTGGAAGTCAAGGCGGAGGGCGCAGTAGAGGAGGGGGGAAGGGGGATGAGTGAAGCATTAAGATCTTTTGAGGTGCCGCCCATTAGGTTTTGATTTGAGGGTGCGGAGGAGGCCGATTCTTAGTATTTTATAATTAACAATCGCAAACTACACGGGACCACTAATCCCGTGTATTTTAAAGATGATTTTTGTAAAACCAACCTTTTCTTGGCCATGTGGCCAAAAAGAAGTCTATTTTACTTATTATTATGCGAGATGGTCGATTTTGCTAATATTTTCTAAGAAGTGGTCTTTTTTAAAAAAATTCTCCTTTCTGAATTTATTATCTGTCAAGTATCTTCTAAGATTGCTCTGGTAAATCCAAACAGAAAAACAGAAAAATGGAAGTATTGATAGCATGTGAGCACTAGCATTGTTTTCAACATGTGGACACCGCTGGGCACCGGAAATATTGAGGCTGAACCCAAAATTATATCTTTATGAGCATGTTTCAAGGACCAAGAGACATGGAAAGTGTGGCACTCACATTAGAAGTTTTCACAAAATGAGGCATAAACAAAGAGGATTACTATAGTTACCTTAACTGGGAAATTCTTTAGGATGCCCAGCTCCCTCTTTACAAATGTTGGCAAAGCAAACGCAGCCTTGTGCATCTGCAAAAAGAACAAAGTGGATCCTCAATTTGAATTGAATGGATGAAAAATTATGTGCATAATAAAAAGCAACAAAATCATATGAAAAAAAAGTGGTAAAAAAAGTTGCATATAAAAAGTTTCTACCATGGTGTCTTTTGCTTCAGACAGTTGATCAACTAGCATGTCCCTATATTTGACTTCCAAAATTCACGGATTGATACCAAGATCAAATAGTACACATTGCAGGATTTTCAGCTCAATGGAAGCTGCAGGCTAAATGGAAGGGAGCCTTTAACAAAGATGAAGCAGGAGGCATAAGAGACTCAGAAGCCTATTTTTAGTTTACATAGTTTTTAATAGCTTATGAAGAGTTACAAACCTAGAATGAATCTAGGATGTAAGCAAGCATATAATTGGGAGTTACAAATATCCACATTGACTTTATGCGCACAACTGAGCCAATCTATCATACTTGAGAACTGCAGCGCAGAAACTAGTAAATAGCACAATCATGAAATCATCAAGAGGTATTAAGACAGCTAAAGGACAAACAGTAAATGGTTCAGCTACAAAGTAATGTGCCAGCATACGTAACTATCAGAACAGCTAAAGGACAAACAGTTGCATGTTCAGCTACAAAGACTAGCACAGACTCTAAACACAAATACATTAGACTATATAATCATTATGCGACAGTCATAAATCATTAGCATCTTGCCTCCAAGCATGAATGACTGAGAAATTCTTAAATACCTCTGAATTATAAAATTTAAGTTCTCTCCTGGATTTTAATGCTTCCTCCTGGTTTTCAATTGGGTTTGCTGGGTTCAAGAAATCAACAGGTGGACCATCCGTAGAACACAACAAAAATCCAATCACACCGCTGCAGTCAAATAAAGTAAATATACGATGAACATTAGTGTGAAAGAACAGGTTCTTATCACATTGTAAGCTAGAAGCATATATCCAGGAAAATAATAATCCAATTGATGTTGAGAAAGTAGATTTTGAAAAGAAAAAGAGTAATAGAGGAAAATTACTTTGGCTAGCTTATGAACTGCTGCTAATAACTACCTTAGGAGTATCCCAAATAATCCTGACAGCTGGAGTATAGAAGGTCATGTAACTAATATGGAAATGAATCAAGAGAGAACATGAAAGAATACTTTATGTGTGAAGGTGGTAAAACATTAAGACATCTTTTTGCAGTTTACCCTCGTGTTTCCTTATTTATAATTCATTCTAGGAGTTACTAAAATTGTCTGGACGCAAATATTAAAATTTTGTACAAAAAAAAGAGATAAAAATTCAAGATCTAGAATATACATACCCCTAGCGTGAAGTATAGTTTCCCCGCCAAATCAGGCACGGGACATTAAGAACCTGGTGTTAACTTATATTTTATACAGATGTAAGACAAACTAAAGGCGGTGTTAAGCATTTTTCATCTATACATCTTCTATAAGACTAATAAAAAGGATCTGTTAGATAATTTTAAACAGAAAATAAAATAATGTCATAAGTACCTGGGATAAGTAGGCACACTTGTCCAGGCATAATGTACAGAACCTTTGAAGACTTCGCGACAGGTGGAGAGCATATCCTGAATAAGGTGTGTATGGAGCCACATACTTTCGGCTTGGTTACAAAGCACGCCACCAGGCCGTAATACCCTTGCAATTGTTTCAAAAAATGGCTTTTCAACAAGCTCTTGAGCTGGTCCTGTAATTAATAATATATGGTTCAAACATTGAGTATATGTTGTTAATAAGTACAAAAATATAGCATGTAACACCAAAGCATGTTTCTAGATTTCCCCGTGAGTTTCCTTATAATTCAAATACCTTTTGTAATTTAAGTGGAAAAAAGTAACTGAAACATACCTATTGGGTCAGATGAATCAACAATAACTGCATCATACATCCCTTCCTGAGCATTCCTAAGAAACTCCACAGCTGTTACAAAGATATGACTAAGCAACCGAAGAAAACAAAAAAAATCTAGAACAAAGTATGGCTAAGAGAAAAGCTTTTAAAAGTCCACATTTGATAGACATCTGTGCAGACCGTTTTGAACAACTGACAGCATCAAAAACCATAAAAATATGCAGCTAAAATTAATAATGCTGATTCCCATTTTTCAACATACCATCACCAACATGAAGTTGAACTCGAGGATCCTCAAACCCAATGGACAACTCGGGGAAATATTTCTTACAAACCTACAGTAAGTACACCTGTCATATCAATGTTATGGCATAAAATGGCTATTAAAGTTTGCCACTTACGTCTATGACCAACTTGTCTATTTCACATATATCAATTTTCTCCACAGAACCGTGTCGAGAAATTTCCCGAAGCACTCCACCATCACCACCTCCTATAACCAGAACCTGCAAAAGATAGCTCCATTAGGTAAAGTACAAACATATGCAGATTCATATGTTACTCAAATGTCATCACTGAATAGAAGTCAGCTGACAACACTTCGCACAGAAATTTGAGTTCTTGTATGAGAGAATCCAGAATAGAGAGTAAGAGCTAGCAGATACTTTTTCCACCAAGGAAGGAAGTTTTCAAGATGATCAAGTTGAGAATTTTATTCCAGCTAAGTAAATATAGTCCAAGTTCCGAAAAGAAAATGAATGCAAAGGGGACCTCCATCCCTCCTCTACATATAGAGGAGAATTTACTCTAGCTGGGTAGTGAGGGACCTGCACTGAACCAATAACCTCTCCATCACCAGTGTAAAGAACCTTTAACAAGTATAATTTCGCTTATGGTAAGTCAAGTGCATTTTACTCAGCGTAAATTCTTTTAGACTTTTTCAAACAAAAAATGTGTTTGTACAGGTACTTACTAAGGGAAGATACTAGCACAATATGCAATTTATTCACAAGTTTGGTAGAAACCGAAAGAAATGCAAATCAAATTCAGATAATTTTTAAATTTGGTAGATAACAACAAATAGCGTAACTAAAACATACTTGTTCATTTTTAATAAAACCAAACTAGGATAGCAGCTTCGATCAGCAGTCTGAATAAATGGAAAGTAAAAAAAATAGAGTTGATCAAGCCATTAAGGAAATTACAGTTTTTGGCGATGAAATTGAACAAAGAGGAAGATGGGAGATCATCTCTTGATAGGCACATTCATCTTTTTCAGTCAGCTGAACAATGCCATCAAGTGCAAGCACTTTTCCATAAGTTGATGACTGCAGTGCAAGATAAAACAGAAATCCAGTTACTGAAAATTTACAGGAACAGACAACAATAGCAACTAGGAACTTCAGCATAGAGACAGTGTAAGACTTTAAAACAGATAATGTAGATTGGAAGAAACCTCAAAAACCAATATCTCTTGGTAGTCTGATCTCCCCTGAAATAGAATCTGTTCCACTCTCAATGAATGAGCCTCCCCTGCAAATAACAATTTAAATGCACTTCAACAATATATAAGAGAAAGATATGAAAAGTAATGGAATAACAGTCTTAACAAAAGAAATCTGATGTTGCATCACCACGATCATCTACATAACCTTATAAAAAGTCACGAGATCAGAAGGTTGATTGGATATGGGACGTGGGTCGAGCTCTTATTTTGTTCCCCACTACAATTTCATCTAGAATCTTATACACACTTTGCTCTGTGCTTGCTTGTATGTGAGCGAAGATATCATGTACTGGCCATGCTATAACGTAGTGAGGTTAGGAATGAAAGAATGATTGTCATGTACACCCCTTTATTTATTTTTATTAATACATGCCTCTGTAGATCTAAAGGTTTTTAGCAATATTCTCATTCACCATGGGGGGGAAAACACATGTACGCACCCTCTAAGTTATGTTATTTATTTGAATTTGTCAAGTACAGCTTTTCAAAATAAAAGGAAACATGATGGTCAGTTTTGATTCTTTTGACTATCCATAAAAAGATCTAAGGCCCTTCTACACTTAAAAGTTCAGATGACTTTCTTGCAGTTTTATTCTCTTCTCATCTTTACTTGCATTGGTTTGCTCATGGAGCCCATGGTACTGGTGCTTTATAGTTGCTGTTTCATAGGTCGAATATGATTCCACATCCTACTTGCTGTCTGGTGGGTGTGCGCACTTATGGGAAACTATGGATGGTTGATAGGATGTTTTTTTGCTGCTTTAGAAAGTTTTTTTTCCTCAAATGCTCAGGACTTCTACCCTAAATTCCTCTCTACCATCAAATTTATACAGGATGTCAGACCTTGTTTTCATTTACCAGTTCCCGATATTCAATCAGCATATTATAGTTTTCTCCATCGACAGGTAAAAGACATGAATTTTTTTCCGGAAATGATCTTTATAACAATATATGAGATACAACATGAAAATGAGAGAAGAGCTATGTATATATAAGAACATATAGGCATAGAAAAACATAACATTATTAAACGAATCCATACTAGGTAAAAAATTTTGAAATGCGCCAAAAAGAATACGCCTTTCAAAGTTTGCACAATATAGAATTTCAACTAAATACCGATAAGAAACTTTTAAAAATCATAAGAGTAATACATGTGAATTTTCATTAAATGTTAAGGTGTTAACAATATTTTTTCATTACGCACAAATGTGTGCTGTGTCATGCACACTTCATGTGCACCAAAGAACTACATCAGCACTGGTGCTAATAACAATGTTTAATTTCACACAAATGCACCCTATTATGCATGCATCACGTGCCCTGGGAGTACTGGTAATAGTATAGAATGCACTTTCTAAAAAATATTCCCTATTCCAGGTAAGTGTTGGAACTAATAATATATTTTCAGAACTCCTTGAGTATCTCTTGTTTACATACATAATGCTATGCTCAATTTAGATAAACATGGATTTGAACTTCCTATAACCCATATTACTCTCATTAATTAACATCAAACTTTCCTTTGGCAAAAATAAATGTTATCTAAATTGTTTTAGTTATTTTATACTTATAAATTATAACTATAAGTTTATTTCCTTATCTGGTTTTCCATAAAGAATTTTTCCTGATACATGCATAGCACGTACCTGAGAAGTTATTTATATACAAAAAAGGTTACACATTATAAAACCTATCTTTATGTATCAAAACAAGCAATTGGGACAATAATGTCAAGAATCCCTGCCTATAAGAATTAAATCCAAGTGCACTCCAAGTCATTCTTGTCCTGATCAGGATCCAAGGGATTTTGGCTCCAACCACCAACACAAGGGCTAAATTCATGAAGAAATACCAGTATTAGGCTGCAACCGCCTTGAAGATAAGAAAAGTTCAACAGTAGTATATATATTATAATTAAGTTGGATTTTAAAAATTAAAAAATTATAAAAAATCTTCATCAAAGAAAGAGATAATGTTCCCATAGCATGCATATATATATATATATATTATTATTATTTTATTATTATTATTATTATTATTATTATACACTAAAAGAGCAAGTTGGTGTAATTAAAATCAAGGGTTATTTGCACCTTGGCACCCCCAAGTTTACATCATTTTTAACTTTGATACCCAAACTTTTTATTTGACACTTTAATACCCCAAAGCTTACACTTTTTTTTCCTTTGATACCCTAAAGTTTTTTTCCAACACTTTGATACCCCAAAATTTACACATTTTTTAACTTCAACACATAAATTTAGGGCATCCAAGTGTCAAAAATAAAACTTTAGAGTATCAAAGCTTAAAAAGGTGTAAATTTTGGGTACCAAACCTAAAAAGAATGAATCAAAGCGTTGGAGAGAAACTTTGGTGTACCAAAATTAAAAAACACCGTAAACTTCGGGGAGAAAAAGAACAAATTGATCAAACGGGAAACATGACCAGCAAATTGAAAAAAAAAACATCGATCACTGTCAAATTGGCAATCAAGAATATACCTTACCCGGCCACATTGGATTGTTATAGTACAAACTCTTCGGAGACTTATCTGCAAAATTACAAGACCAAAATCAGTAATGAGCTTCAACATTCCCTAAAATCCAAAGAAATTAACAAAAAAAGTAAAGAAATTGACCAGATGGCAACCGAGATTCCGAGAGCCAGCCCGAGACAACGGTTGCATGAAGCTTGGCCTCGGACTCGGGCACCGAAGCTAGGGCTTTCTTGCAGCAATTTGGGAGCCCCCCGCTTCCGCTCGCTTCCATGAACCCGATTCCTCTCCTCACTCTCCTCCAGCCTGCGGCGATCAACGACCAGTCCAATCCAATCACGACGGAAAGATAAAAAATTTCAAAAAGTTAGGGTTTCGCTTTGCTTTCTCACCCGAATTCTGATTGCTAGGTCAGCTCGTGAGCCTTTTCAGCTGGCGAATTTATTCTCTGTTTGATTTGATTGATTCCTTTTCCCTTTTATTTGGACGCGTTTTTGTTTGGAAATCCCGTGAAATTGTTAGAATGTGAGTACAATTCGTAGTCCCTGAGCTTGAGCTCAACAAAAATGAAAGGTGTCGCTGAGGAAAGATTTTGGGCCCTGTCATTTTCGTCTGAGTACAATTCGTAGCCGTTTGGATTTGCCTGGTGCAATACATGTGGGGGTTTGGTGAGTATTCTAGTACTATTAGGGCCTGTTTGTTTGCCTCAAAAAAAGGAAATCAAAGAAATGGAAAACTATTAAATCAAAGAATTATTTTGGGAGTGTTTGGTTTGCTAAAAAAAAGAAATCAAAGAAATGGAGATGAGTTGTCACCTTATTATAGGATGATGTGAATGATTTTTTAAGAAAACTTGTTTTGATGTTGTTTGGTTGGCGAAAAAAATAAGGAAATGAATTCTAAGAAACCAATTTCTTAAAAAAGTTTGTTTGGTTATTTCTTAAAAATAAGAAAATAGATGAGCTGAGATGAGTTGTCATTGTATTATTGGGTGATGTGATCCAAGATTAAGAAAAGTGTTTTCACAACTTTTTGGGATGAAAACAAAGAAATGAAATGTTAATGAGATGAGATGAGTTGTCACAATCTTATTGGATGATGTGGGTGATTTTTAAATATGAGATGAGATGAGTTGAGTGATGTTGTTGATGAAAATAATATTTTATTAGATGTGGTGGATGTGATGGATGAGTTGTTGGATGAAAATAATATTTTATTAGATGTGGTGGATGAGTTGTTGGATAAAAATAATATTTTATTAGATGTTGTGGATGAGTTTTAGGGTTGGAAATATGTGAAATTGTACTTTTTGAGATTTCTTGCTTTTCATTTCAATTTTTCGGTTTTTTGGGAAATAACCAAACAGGCGACTAAACTTTGAAAATATTGGAAAAACCCCTTAACTTTGACAGTATTAGAAAACCCCCCTTAAATTTAGGGGTTATTAGAAAACTCTCCTTAACTTTGGATTTTATCAGAAAATCCTTCTAACTAGGGGAGCTTTTGTCAAAATTTAAAAGTTAAAGAGGGTTTCCTAATAAAATCTGAAAGTTAAAGGGGATTTTGTGATAATCTCTATACTTAAAGGCGGATTTTCTGATTTTTAAAACAATATATAAAATATAGCATTATGTAGCACAAAATAGCGTATAGCGTAACGTAGCGTCACCATGTCGCTATGTAGTGCTGAAAAATAGCAATAAATAAATAAAATAGCGTATGCTATTTTACTTATAGCGTACGCTTTGTAATGCGTCTTCATAGCGCTCCATAGATTAGGTTAAATTATTCAAAGGCTCGGGCTGATTTAAAAAAAAACTTTGATTGTTATGATTGATTTTTTTTAAATTAATTAGATTTTGCAAAAAAAATGTTAAAAAGGAACCAAAGAATCACTCATTACTTTTCTTTAAATTAATCAGATTTAGAAGTAATAAAAACTAGTACTTTTCTTTCAAAAATAAAAGTTGTAACTTCACTTGGATTACTATTAGATAATTTTACATTTATGACGTTCTATTACCTATTAGAACTTATTGTGATAATGTGTGGTGTATTAGGCATGTCCATCTGGGCCGGCCCGGTCCATCTGGGCCGGCCCGGCCCGGAAATCCGGGCCCGGGCCGGGCAAAACCGGAGCCCGGGCCGGGTCCGGGCCCGGGCCCGACCGGGTCGGGTTCCGGGCTGGCCCGGAATTTTTTTATTATTTTTTTAAATTTTATTTAAATTTTAAATTATACAAAAAAAGACAAAAAAATTAATAAAAAAATAATTTTATTAATCACTTAAAATGACATAAATTACAAATAAAAATGATAAAAACAAATTCTTTATTAATAATTAATAAATCATTTATAAATTACAAATACAAATTTATTGTGGAATTCATCGCATCACAATAGATAAGTACATCCCAACTAGGTTGGCACCTACTCACCTATATCACTATTATTTGTAACTATTTCCAAAATAATTCTTTACAAATTTTAAGCTAAGATATAAAAATTACAATTTATTCTTTATATCTATCTGCTAGTCCCAATTCTTTAAATTTATCTTCAATTCCAGCCATCCGATCGATGCCTTGCGCTCGCTTCTCGTACCTCCACCAATCTTGTAAGCACATCACCGCTTGTACAGTATACGGATCTAAGTATGTTCTATGGTCGTCGGTCAAACGTCCTGCTGTGCTGAAGGCGGATTCCGAAGCTACCGTCAAAACCTGCACTGTTAGTAAGTCACGAACCATGTTGGAAAGTATAGGATATGAAACTGATCCATATACTTTCCACCATTGCTCACGAACCATGTTGGAAAGTATAGGATATGAAACTGATCCATATACTTTCCACCATTGCAAAATATCTAAAGCATTTCCTTGATATACTTTCCACCATTGCAAAATATCTAAAGCATTTCCTTGACATTTAACTAAAGAAGTAGATAAATATTCATCTATTTCAGAAACCTCCAATGATGACGATCCAAGTCCAGATCCACCAATTAGCTCAGCTACTATTGCATATCTATCAAAACTTATACTTTTACCTCGGGATGAGCTCAAAGAAACCGAAGTTGTAGACTGTTGTGTAGCTACACCATGTCTAGCTGCATACTCATCATATAAGGTTTGAAAATAATTTCTAATAGCTAAATGATGAGTAGTAGTAGTAAGGATGGTTCCATCATCTAAGTCTATAATCTGATTACCATACAAGAATTGTAACAAACTTCGAAGGCCAATATCCTTCAAGCATGGATCAATAAGAACCCCCAAACCAAAAATATGAGGAATATGCCTAAAGTACTTATTAAATTTGCTCTCCATTTGAAAAATCATAGGTCCAAAAGTATCATCCATACGATATTTTTCAAATTTTTTTTGAATATTTAAAATTTGTAAATCAGCTAAAGTAATGGTTGGATAATAACAGCCAGATAATAACATTGTAGCATCATAAAAAAACTTGTAACATTTCATTTAAATTACATATAATTGTCCATTCATCTTCAGTTATTCCATAAGTGCTACCAAAACTAGAACTAGAAGCATAATAGTTTATAAAATCAGTTATAATGTCTTTATATTCTATGGCTACACTTAACATTGCATAAGTGGAATTCCACCTATGGTCAACATCTTTTGGAATTAGTCTGGGCTTTACATTTTTTTTTTCAAATTTGTTTCCATCTTTTAAGTCTTTGTTCAGAAGCATTATGCATATAAGCAATTGTTCTAACCTTTTCTATCATGAGTTTAATTTCAGTAAATGCACTTTGAACAATTAAATTTAAAATATGACAGATACACCTAATATGAAAAAGATCACCATGACATGGCAATAATAAAGATGATCTGATAAAATCAACAGCTACATTGTTATTACTTGCATTATCTAGTGAAAGAGAAAATATTCTTTCTGAAATTTCTAATTTCATAAGTTCTTCAATTATTAAATTTACAACATTAATACCAGTATGTGACTCTTCTATTGTAATAAAAGAAACAACTCTTTTAAACATTTACCAATTTTCATCAATCTAGTGTGCTGTGATACATAAATATCCAGTTTGTGCTCTAGATGTCCAAATATCATAAGTTAAAGAAAATTTACAGTTTAAATTTTTAAAATAAGAATTTTTTTCCTTGTTCTTCCTGATAATATTTTAAAATATCACGTTGACAGGTTTGACGAGAAAATTTTTTAAATGCAGGATAAAAACCATCTCTAAACATATCTTCAAATTCATCATCTTCTACTAATTTAAAAGGAAGGTTTTTAAGAATGATAAACATGATTATGCATTTCCTGGCTCTGGCAGCGTCATAGTTCCAACTACCGAGACTACCAGAAGAGGAGGATTGAGAAATCATAGATTGTCGGATATCACCGTGAGGAGTCTGGCCTTTGTTGTGTTTATCTAAATGACGTTTGAGGTGGTTGGTGCTGCTCTTATGATGAGCTTGAAAAATCTTGTCGCACAACGCACACTTAGCCTTCTGGGTGAGGATCCTACCGTGTTCATCCTTGGTGATGTCGATCTTCTCGTAAAAATTCCACACATCAGATCTTGGCCTTTTAGGAGCTCTTGGTGCAGATTCGTCGCCACCGGATTCGGGATTAACTTCGGTAGGAGTAGACCCAGTAGGAGGACTCATTTCAGGATCGGGAGATAGGTTTTGCTCTTCATAATCAGATCCAGAAGCCATTTGATGAAAGGATTAGAAAGTATAAGAGAGTATAAGACTATAAGAGTATAAGAGAGAGTATAAGAGTATAAGAGAGAAGTAGATGAGTTTTAGTATGAAGAAAATAAAATGAAAACCTCCCTCTATTTATAGAACCAGCCCTCTAAGCAAATGATCAAAATAACCTCACAAAATAGCCATTTTTTTACTGTTTTTGGGGACAAAACGGTCAAACGACCGATTATGGCCGGGCCGGGCCAGGCTAGCCCGGCCCGGCCCGGTATTTTTTTTTTTTCGGCAAACGCCACCTATGGGACCGTTGCCCCCGGGCCGGGATCCCAGCTCGCCCGGCGTCCGGCACCTGTTCCGGGCCGGGCCGGGGCCGGGCCGGAGCAGCCCCGTTGAGAACAAGCCCGGACTACCGGGTCGGGGCGGTCCGGGCACTGCTGAGGCAGCCCGGGCCCGGGCCGGGGCCGGGCCGGGCACCGCTGAGGCAGCCCGGGCCCGGAACCCGGACAAACCCGGATTTCCGGGCCGAGGCCGGACCGGGCCGGCGGGCTTTTTGGACAGGCCTAGGTGTATATTTTTTTAACGACTATGCTTTTTGGAATGATTGTTAAGACATATGTGATTGATTTTCTTGTGAAATTGTGATGATATATTGATTTGTGATAGTATTTTTATGATGGTATGTTCGAGAAGTGTGATTATTATTCCTATTATTTGATTTTGAAAATTATGTATCTATGTAAATATTAATGAATTATTTAACCTACGGTTAAGAGTTACGCTATTTTGTATTTATGTTAACCAGAGGTGAACGTTACGCTGTGTGTTATCGCTATTTTCAACATCGTTTTAAAAGTTGGGGGGTTCTGATAATTATCAAAAGTTAA